TACGAAGAAAAACTTGAGACTAGGTAATTAATAAAGGAAAGAGGTTAAACTGACTCACAGTTCCACAGGGCTAGGGAGGCCTCGAGAAACTTAGAATCATTGCGGAAGTGGAAGCAAACTTGTCCTTCTTCACACGGCTGCAGGAAGGAGAGTCCTTAGTAAAAGGGGGAAGCTCCTTACAAAACCTTCAGCTCTTGTGAGAACTCACTTATCACAAGAACAACATGAGGGTAACCGCCCCATGATTCAATTACCTCCCATGAGGTCCCACCCCCAACACATGGGGGTTACAATTTGGATTACAATTAAAGATGAGATTTGGGTGGGGACAAAGAGCCAGACCATATCAGGCCCTGTGTGGTTGGCAGAATAATGGCCCCCCAAGATACCTGCCCTCTGATCCCTGACACCTGTGAATATGGCACATTACATGGCAAAAGGGGCTTTGCAGGTAGAATTAAGGATGCAGATCTTAAAACGGGGAGAATATCCTGGCTGATTCATGTGGGTCCAGTGTACTCACATGCACTCTTAAAGACAACAGAGGGAGGCAGACAGGCCATAGAGAGTGGAAGAGGTGGGAGAGAGTCGCAGTGCAAGAGGGGCTCTTTCCACGGGTGCTGGCTGTCAGGATGAGATGGACCATGAGCCAGGGAGGGCAGGTGGCCTCCAGATGCTGAAGGCAACCCCAGCCAGCAAGGAAACAAGGACTTCATTCCCACAAACCCACACAGCTGGATTCTGCCAGCAACCCCAATGAGCCTGGATGTGGATTCTCTCCCAGAGCTCAGCCCTGTTGACACCTTGATTTTGGCCTTGAGAGATGAAGCGCAGAAGCCAGCAGAGCCTGTGAGATTTCTGACCTCCCCCGGGAAGTGTAAGATAATACACTTGTCTTGTTTTAAACTATACAAGTAGCAGTTTATTCTGGCAGCCATGGGAAACATTGCCCCTACACGTCCTTATTTGCATGCCTTCTTGCGTGCTGATGCTGCTGTGGGGAACACCTGTTCTCTAGCTTGCCACTAAGTTAAAATCTCACCTGTCCTGGAAGGCCCAGCTTTCACGGCCATCCCTGAGCAACACTGCCCTGCCCCTGATGACACAGCAGAATGAATTACGTTCTTCTCTGTGCTTGAAGAATTTTGCTTCCATCTCAACATAGTGCACGTGCTGAGTGGTTAGCATCTACGCAATGGTCGCCTTTTGCTGCACTCTGACGCTTGTCCCTAGCCCAGTGCCTGATAGTCTGTCAATCAGGTATTTATTGGGAGGCTATGTTGTGCCACACAGACGTGTCATAGGTGCTAGGTATACAGGGCTGCCTAAATCAGACCCAGGGCCTTTCATTCTGTCCTGGACCTCCTAGGCTACACATATTCACTGCCTCATAAACATCTGCTAAGTTAATTAAACTAAGACCTCCTGGGGACAAGGAAGCCATAATCACCAGGAAGCAGGATTAGCCTGGTCTCTCTGTCAGGGCAGCCTCATGTGTATGCACACACGAGTCTTCTGCACCGTGGACCATCTGCCGTCTGCGGGAAGATGTGGGGCACCGGGAATGCTCATCGTGGGGTTGTGTTTGGTTCAGCCATGATTTGCCTGGGCCATAATAGAGTGCTGCTTTCCTTTTTCTCCTCGAACTTCTTTTTATAAAGTGACTGCGATAACATTTACACACATTGTTTCCAAAGGGCTTTTTTCACATTCGTCATGACGTTTAATCTTGATGACAGGGACATGGATGAACCTGGAAACCATCATTCTCAGCAAACTGACAGAAGAGCAGAAGATCAAACACCGCATGTTCTCACCCATAGGCGGGTGTTGAACAAGGAGAACACATGGACACAGGGAGGGGAGCACTACACACTGGGGTCAGTTGGGGAGAAATAGGGGAGGGACGGTGAGGGGTAGGGAGCTGGGGAGAGATAGCAAGGGGAGAAATGCCAGATGTAGGTGATGGGGAGGAAGGCAGCAAATCACACTGCCACGTGTGTACCTATGCAACAATTTTGCATGCTCTTCACATGTACCCCAAAACCTAAAATGCAATAAAATAAATAAATGGGGAAAAAAATCTTGATGACAAACCTAGGGTGCACGCGGAAGTAAAGCAAAGAAAATGTTTGATGGATTATAATTGCATAGCTGTTTTATTCAGTCTTTCCTGCTGGAAAGTCCCTACTAATATAAGTTAATCATTAGCCAAGCTGCTAATTGGCTAGGCTTTTTAAAAAAATATAGGCATTTACAAAAAATAGCTCAAGCTAAGTTTTGCTTATGTTTGCAAATCAGGCAAGATCTAAATCTCTTAGGAGGCCTAACTGGCTTTGTGTTTGCTCAGTAGAGTATCCAACCACTTCTGGCTTGGAGCTGTTTGGATTGATGTTTTTACAAATAAACTCTAAACTTTTATGGTACCTCAGTTTACCGTTTAACAGAGGCCTCAGAAGAAATCCACCCTGCTGACCCCTCGATCGCAGACTTCTAACCTCCAGAACTGTGGGCAGATAAATGCCTGTTAGTGAAACTGCCCAGTCCGTGGGTCTTATGGCAGCCCAAGCAAATGAACCTACTTGCCTGTGGCTTTAAGTTCCCTTCCATTCCTGGCCTCTCTGACCCCCACTGTCTACTTTAATCGCTGTGACCAAGTCCCCATCTCCATGGTGCAGGTGGGGGCCAGGCTGGCTCAGCAGGGCCTTGAGCTGGCACGGGGTAGCCCCAAGGCTGAAGAGTCACCAGTGATGAACAGAGACACAGAGAGTAAATTAAGTCGGGCTGAGCTGGAAGCTGGATGGAAGAGTCAGGGCCTCAATGCCAGAGAAGAGGCAGGAAGCATTTCCTGTGCAGCAGGGGCGGTGGGATGGATAGAAGCCTCAGCATGTGGACAACAGCCAGGAAATGGAGGCTCCTGGAGTGTGCCGGGAAAGAGGCTGAGGTTTCCAGCTGCTTGCCCCAGCGGTTACCTCTGTGCGCAGTTGACCTTGCTAGCCAGAGGTGAAGCAGCCTGGCTGGGAAAGCTAGGAGGAGATTCCCCCCCTAGCTGCGGTGACATCTTTCCCCATGCTCTTTTGAGTCATGATTCACACATTTCTCTTCTTTCTGCTGGGAGCCTTTTACAGGCTGGGACTGCTTCTTCCTTAAGGACCTCCAGGATGCACTCTGTACCTCAGCATCCAGCACTGCTCGGGACACAGTAACTCCCTGTAGATGCAGGTTGAACAAAGAGATCAACGAGGAAATCAGTTTGCAACTACCACTTTCTTTTCAGTTTTACGACTTTCGTCTGCAATGCACAATCGGTTTGGTGGAATGACCGGCCAAGATGGCAAAGCCAGGAGGAATTTGCAGCAGAGATTTTTACCCTCATTTTCGATTTAGTGGGGTCAGGTAACCTGAGGGTGATGCTGGAGGACAGCAGATAAAAGCATTCTTGCTTCCGAAGGTTTCAAGAGCTCTGGAGACAGGTCAGGCACGAAAACTGTGAAAATGATGGCTCGTCCTGTAGAACTCTACAAGGAAGAATTGGGCTGAGTAAATTATTGAATAGCAACTTTTTCTTTTCTTTTTTTTTTTTTTCCAATGGGAAGCTGAACATTTCAGAACAGCTATTATTATCACTAAAAAAATAGATGTCTAAAATTTATAGGGCTCCGTTTAGAGATTGGAAGATCTAGGCGTTAATCACTTAAACAATTTTCTAATTCTATAAAATAAGATTAATGATGTGTCTTTTTTGTGATCCCTTTTCTAAGATTAAAACCTTTGATGTGGAAAATGTTCGTTGCTGCTCCTATTTCGAGGCCTGGGTGAATTACTTTACCGTCTCTGTCTGTGACAGACCCCTGAGTCCACTGCAAAGTTCTACCTTCCCATTTATTGGGTTTCCTAGATTTTCTAAATATATTGATTTAACTCTAATGGTTTGATTTATTCCAGAACTTTATTCACTAACTGCACGGCACTGCACTTTCTTACACAAGGGAGTTCTTTCATGGTTGACAGTGGAATTATTGTCAATCATCAATAGGAATACATGAACATGTCCTGTTTATAGTTCCGTAGGTAGAACTTGGATAATATGCGGGATCCTGACTTGTTTGCATGAGGCTCCCAATGAGGATGTATGGTTGAAATTTTAAGTGTAATTCAGTGGATAAGCAAGAAATAATCATTCAGAGGATCATTCCCCAAAGTCCGCTTATTGTGACCCAGGATTAAAGTAAGTGGCGAAGTCAACAAAAATACCAACGTCCAAATATGGATCAAGCCTCCCCCCTCTGAACTACCCCCGCCCCACTCCAAACTACCCCTCTCCCACTCCTGGAGCTTCATTGTGGCCGGAGGCTGCTGTCCCAGGCCATGCTGCAGCCTTAGACACTGCCCACTCATGAGACAGACCTGTGTTGTGTCTCAGCACACAGCGTAATGTGCGACTCCTTCTGCAAATATCACTCTAGTTTCAATATGGCTCTTCCATAATTTAACCTGAATGACTGATGTTGGTTGTATTCAGCGATGGGGGAGAGAAACTAGAGAACAAAAAGAAGAGCTGCTTCTTGCTCTTTTCTCCCTCCTCAGCCAGTCTGATGCAGAAGGTCAGCTCCTAGAGGAGTGAGCAGGCCGGGAGGCCTTCAGCATCCACTCGTGGACGACTTAACACTTACGTGGTAGCACCACGCGAAGTTCGTGAACATAAAAGCAAATCACATTGGATCCTCTCCCCCAGTTGAGATGAGCAGCATGCAGGGCAAGGGACAGCCACCCCCACAGTGCATCGAGCTGTGTGCTGCTGCAGAAGGGGGACAGACATGCCTAGGGGCAGGGGAGAGAGAGAAGGGCGCATGGGAGGTGGGTTTTGATGGCTGAACAGGAGTTTCCTAGAGCCTGGGGAAAGGAAGTGTGGGTAGGACAGAAACAAATAATACTAGAGTTCTGTGTCACAAATGGTGGACGGTCAGCATGGCTGGTGGGAGGGGCTGTGCAGCACCCAGTCAGCAGTAAGGCTGGGTGGGCAGCTCGGGGGCAGACCGTGAATGGGCTTTCTTGTGTGCATGGCTCTTGCCAGGCATAATCACGGTTTTCAAGAGAGGACTTGATTGAAATAGATCAAATTCTTCTAATGTGGAGCTCAGGAGGGAGACCAGGTATGGGGGGGCTGCAAAGCGCCTGCCAGAAATGGTGAGGCCTGGGGTGAGAAGAAGAGGCTGGACCCAAATGGAGAAGCTGGACCCAAAAGACATGCTTAGGGAGAAGTGACTGCAATTTGGGAGCGAGTGAGAGGGGAGACCTGCAGCTTCTGATTGGAGTGCCGGGTGGATGGTGACCCTGCACCCAGAAAAGCAGTCACAGAAGGTCCAGCGGGCTGGTGGGGAAGCCGGCGGAAAGGCCCCCGAGGCATCTGCCTGCCTTCTCTGCTTTTCACCCCTTTCCCTGCCCTCGTCAGCCTTGTAAGCCTTGGTGAGCATCTGGGAACTGCCGGGAGAGGCAGAGCCATGGCCCAAGCGTTGCCCAGCTCGGAGGGGTGCCCAGGAGGAGTGTGGCCTGGAGAAGCCTGCCCACGCCTCCTTCTGTGGATGCCAGCGGTGGCTTGTGCATTCTGTCAGCCTGTGCCAGTCCACGGTACAGCGGCTGGGTCTCATCTGAGCAAGGACATTTAGAGCTTCCTGCTTTCCTCTTTTCTTTAGACAAGGCATATGGCAAACTCAGTCCTTCCCCAGCTGCTTCTGGGGGGAGGTTGTGGCAAAGCACGATGTGCTGCGGTAGCCTGCTTCAGGGAGAGAGGGATCTGTGCCTGGAAAGCGTGTCACGAAGAGTTGGCTTTTCTTAAAACACTCACATTTCTTTCCTAGCAGAGTTGTCATTTTCTGCCGTCTGGGCTCTGGTGACGGTGTGGTCTGACTCCACAGATGTCAGAAACTCAAGGTTCTGCAAAGACTTTCACTTCTCAGGTTCCAAAGGCTCAACAAGCTTCCCGTCGTCTGTGTTCATGGACTTAAATTTCATGTTGTCAAATGAGTATCAGGTAACGGCAGAAATAACACGTATCACACATTTATTGATTTATTTCCCTTGGATTTATTTATTTTAGAACACCATTACCCAAAGCAGAGCTCTTGAAACTCTAGTTCTACAACATGATCTTTGAAAAATGGGTTTCATTTCCAGATGCTAGGAAAATATTGAATTCCCGACGCTCCTCTTGCACATCCATTCTCAACTCACAGTAAAGGCTCTGAGAAGGCCTGCATTATAACATTGTGCGGACAGGGTCTCCCCAAGTTGTCATGCATGAAATCCTAGACTCTGCTTAGTGGTTTTTGTTTTTATTCTAAATGCATTTTGAACAGCCAGTGTACTGACTTCCATGAAGGCTGCCCTAAAATGCACAAACGATGCAAGACTTTCTAAGTCATGTTGTTGAGTTGTAGAAGAGGAAGAAATTTGGAAAATGGGCTGCAGGCTTTTCCTGGCCCTAAAAGGAAGATCTCACTCTTTTTTCCATTGACCTCCCTTTTCCATTTTTACTTTGCCTTTAATTAATTTTTCTTATTTCTCTTCACCCCATTTCTTGGTGTTCTGCCTCAGATGAAAGTAGAGTGATTAGTTCCTTATCTCCCTTTTAAAGGAATTTCATCTGGCTTCCAGCTCAGGGGCTAATTATGGCTTTATGGATTTCCTTCTTTGAAATACATCTACACTAAATACTGCCAGCTTCTCACTCACTTCAGGGTAAAGTGGGAAGCTCTGTATGCCTAATTCTTCCCCTTCTCTGTAGAGTCATACTATTCATGATGAAAAGGGGGAGTGGCGGCTGGGTGTGGTGGCTCATGCCTGTAATCCCAGCACTTTGGGAGGCTGAGGCGGATGGATCACCTGAGGTCAGGAGTTTGAGACCAGCCTGGACAACATGGTGAAACCCCATCTCTACTAAAAATACAAAAAGTTAGCCAGGCATGGTGGTGGGTGCCTGGAATCCCAGCACTCTGAGAGGCTGAGGTGGATGGATTACGAAGTCAGGAGCTCAAGACCAGCCTGGCCAAGATGGCGAAACCCCGTTTCTACTAAAAATACAAAAATTAGCCAGGCGTGGTGGCGTGTGCCTGTAATCCCAGCTGCTTGGGAGGTTGAGGCAGAGAATTGCTTGAACCGGGGAGGCGGAGGTTGTAGTGAGCCGAGATCGCGCCACTGCACTCCCAGCCTCTGGGAGACAGAGTCTCGCTCTGTCTCAAAAAACAAACAAACAAAAAAAAAAAAAGATATTTTTTCCAGAATATTTGGCTCCTTTTCCACAGCTTCTCATCTTGACCTTGGTATTTATTCTTAAGTTGATTTATCTGGTTCTGGACCTCTTGAACAGCAGTGGTTTCTACCTCAGCAGTACTGAAGAACAAAAACTCCCAGAGGTGACAGCATCTGTCAGAGGACGTAGCCACCACCAGTTCCTCTTGGTAAAAGATGCATTTTGAGGTTGTCCAGTCACTTGGCGCCTGGAGGGTGATGGTGACTGGTTTCCAAGCTCTGATTTCTGAATGCTGTCATTTTGCATCCCCGTCCTTATTCTTGAAGTTTGTTGGGTCCACTTCTGAGGAGTTTTATGATATCCTGAGCTCAGCACTGAAGGTTGCTTATCATGAGCTGTGAAGTTTTGACTTTATGATGACTGCCAGAATGATTCTGTATATTGACTAGATGATCTGCTGGTTTGATCTCCGGATTCATCAGAATACCTGGATCTGGCCCTAGCCGCAGTGGCCCTGCTGTGAGAGCCGTCTTGATCATCTTCTTCAGTTTCTTCTTCAGAGAAACTGACCTTCTATTGGACACTGGTGGCTTCTAATTCATTCATTTTCATATTTCCATTTGTTTTGTATGTTGAATCAGATTCTTGGGCTTCATAAGCCGGGGCTGACATAAGTGGATGACAAGATCTTCACTCACCACTGGAGCCTCTTGTGTGCCCCTGACAGTGTTCTTTGAGACGGTTTGGCTGAAATCACTTTGGGAAGATGGTTTATCATCTTCCGAGGAATGAGAGTCCCACAGGCCACTCCTGGTTGTTGTGGGAGACGGCTGTGGCGGAGGCTGCTGTGAGTGCTGCTGCTGAAGGCAGGTAGCCCTTCGTGTCGTCATCTCCTCGGCTTCCTGGGGTCGCGGCTGCCTCTGCTGCCTAGGCTGAAGGTAGTACGTGCTTTCTCTCACTTCCGGGGTTTTCTAAATTGACATCTAATTCTTTTTCCCAGGCTTTACTCAATAAAGCCAATCATGATAAATCATGGAAAACAGAGCCCTCACATCAGTGTTATCAATTCACCAAGCACAGCTAGCACTTTTTACTTTGTTTTGGAGATCCAAAAATGCTTCTGGGCTAGACCCTCAAATAGCAGAGTGAGCAAGAGGTTCCGGGGGGAACTTAGAGGTCTGGGTCCCGGTTCCCAGCCCCCCACTTCCTAGTGATGAGCTCCTGAGTCACTACCAAATGACCAGTGCTAACATGGACTGAGGGTTTACCAGGTGCCCGTCGAAGTTTAAAACCCCTTTCCTGCATCTCCACTGTGGACATGGGACAGTGAGTTGACAAGAGGAGCTCAGTCACCAGCGAACCTCAATTTCATCTGTGCAGTAATAACGCCTCTCTCCCATCCCGGCCGGTGGGATTATTGGAAGCTTGCGTGACATTGAGTGTCTAGAAAGTGCTTTGAAAGCTGCAGCATTCTGGTGGATGAAAGTAGGAGGCCCTCATATTCTCACTTAAAAGCTTCTGGTTGACACCTGATTTCTCCCCTTTGCAGGAAGCTGACAAGAAGCATGCTGCTGAGTGATCCTGGATTCCCATCCCCCACACCCGCACACCCACGTGTGGGCCCAGCCAGTGAGGAGAAGTCTAATAGGCAGGAGGAGGGGAGACACAGGGAGCGTCCGCGGTAAGTCACGGGAAGCCACCTGCACTCTGACTTCTTTTAGCTTCCTCGATATTTTGTAGGGAGGGGTCCCATGACTGACATGGGGGTTAGAACGGGAAGGAAAGGTCCCTCTCCTCCCATCTGGAGGTGTTGAAGCAGCACTGGGCAGAGCCCAGGGTGGTACCTCTGGGGCTATAGCGGGACAGGGGTGTTTGGTGGGCTGGAAGCCCCTTTCCCCAACAAAACATCTCTGACCTGGTTTAAGACCTTGGAGGTCCACACACACATTTCATGGGACCACAGGCGTGTGCTACCAATTACGAGTGCAGCTAATTTCATTATTTTTATTTTTTAAATAGATACGAGGTCTTGTTGTGTTGTCCAGGCTAGTCTCGAACTCCTGAGCTCAAGGAATCTTCCCACCTTGGCCTCTGAACGTGCTGGGATTGTAGGCGTGAGACACTGTTACATTTTATTAAGATTCTGTTTGCTTCTGCATCTTGGTCCAACTCCCAGCATGGTCAGTCATCAGCAGGTTGGTTTCTCTTATGTCACTGTGTGTTCCTGAAGGAGAAATATTTTATTTTTTCCTTGTGCCCGCCGTCAAAGGATGACCAACTTTTTAAGCTTTCACTCCAGAATTGATAGGCGTCCAGTCAATGCTCTCCCTTGCAAATGGTCCCACAGCTACCTTCTCTTCAATGTATCTTTTTTTTTTGAGATGGAGTCTCGCTCTGTTGCCCAGGTTGGAATGCTGTGGTGCAGTCTTGGCTCACTGCAACCTCCGACTTCCGGGTTCAAGCGATTCTCCTGCCTCAGCCTCCTGAGTAGCTGGGATTATAGGTGGCTGCCACCATGCCTAATTTTTTGTATTTTTAGTAGAGACAGTGTTTCACCATGTTGGCCAGGCTGGTCTCGAACTCCTGACTTCATGATCAGCCAGCTTGACCTCCCCAAAGTGCTGGGATTACAGGCTTGAGCCACTGCACGTGGCCCAATGTACCTCTTTTGACAGAGCTCAGGGTACACAAAAATCTCCTCAAATGCAGAAAAGTCTTTGGGTGTGAATTTATTTTTCAGTGCATCAAAAAATCATTTAGCACTAGGAAGATAGCCTCTCTGACAGGAATGGTGTGTGCCTTGAGAGAATGGGTTCCTTGAGAGGGTCAGAGATGATTCTGAAGGCTTCTGAACATGACAGTGGTGCTATGCGGGTTGAAAACAATCAGTTCTGTTATTTCAGAATTCTACTTTCTGCTTCCTTCCTAACCATAGCTGACTCAGCCTCACTGTGGCTGGGATTACAGGTGTGTGCATGTACCTGGGCCCCACCACATCAGTTATTGCATTTGATGACAAAATACAGAGATTACAAAACAATTTCACTATGTCTAATTCCGCGTACTGGGCGGTTCTGTGAAGGAACAGGCAGGCCTTGGGTCTGAGTTGAAAACGGGCTGAAGTTCAGTCTCTCCAAGCACTGGTTAGCTGCATGCAACACAGCACATCCATGGATGCTGTATTCTGAAGAAGTCAGGATCACTAGCAACAGACAGAAAGACACCCTGGGTACGGCCTGCAATCCCAGCGCTTTGGGAGGGATGGCTCGAGTCCAGAAGTTTGAGACCAGCCTGGACAATATAGAAAGACCCCTGTCTATACAAAAAATTAAATTAAAAAAAGGCCACCCTGGGCAACATAGAGAGATGCTATTTCTATGAAAGGGATCCCCCCTCCTTTTTTTTCTGAGACAGAGTCTCACTCTGTCACCCAGGCTGGAGCGCAGTGGCACCATCTCGGCTCACTGCAACCTCCCAGGTTCCAGCGAGTCTCCTGCCTCAGCCTCCTAAGTAGTTGGGATTACAGGAGTGCACCACCACGCCTGGCTAATTTTTGTATTTTTAGTAGAGACAGAGTTTCACCATGTTGGCCAGGCTGGTCTTGAATTCTTGGTCTCCAGTGATTTTCCTGCCTCAGCTTCCCAGGTAGGTAGGATTATAGGTACATACTACCTAACCTAGTTTATACCAAATTTTTACATTGAAATTTTTATTCCCTTCTCTGGGAGAAATACAGAAAGGACTAAAACACAGTGGTTTTCACTTGTTTGCATGTTGGAAGTGAGACTGCCTTTAGATCCTCTTTTCCAATATTACTATAAATTAAACTAACTTTAAAGTGACCAACTTTCCTACCAAGCTTACTGCACTGTCTAAAGGCCCTTGTGGTCTAAAAGCCAAAGGCCAAATCATATGTGTTAAAGATAAATGGTGCCATTATTATGATGTGGGTGTTCACCATGTTTAGGCAGCGTGTTTAGTGTTACTTCGTTTATTCACTTAACACCTGCCTGGAGTGCCTGTTACATCTCAGGAGCTGTGATAGGCACTGGGGAAGCAGAAGTCAGTAAGATCCATGGAGGAGGCTAGTAGTAAAGACAGAAATTAAGACAAACAGACACAAAAATGCCTGAGAATTGGCCTGGCACAGCGGCTCACACTTGTAATCCCAGCACTTTGGGAGGCTGAGGTGGGTGGATCATTTGAGGTTAGGAGTTCGAGACCAGCCTGGCCAACATGGTAAAACCTCGACTCTATTAAAAATACAAAAATTACCTGGGCCTGGTGGCGGGCACCTGTAATCTCAGCTATTCGGGAGGCTGAGGCAGGAGAATCACTTGAACCTGGGAGCAGAGGTTGCAGTGAACCAAGATCACGCCACTGCACTCCAGCCTGGGTGACAGAGCGAGACTCAGTCTCAAAAGAAAGAAAATGCCTGAGAATTGTTGTGTTACCAAAAAGAACGCACAGAGTGCCACAGGAGTCCTCCAGCATTTGGCTGCACCGGTTTTCCATAAGTTTTGCAACAATGCTCTTATCATGCCCACTGCACAGGTGGGAAACTGGGGGCTTACAAAACTTGGTTTTGTAACCTCTTGCTCCGTAAATAGGCTTGTTGACCAAACTCTACATGTTCTTACCACCCCATCTCCTCCCTGGCTTGGAACTTCCGAGCTTAAGATTCCAGATGGACCTTTATTTTTGAGACCTTAGAATCGATTTAGGTTTATATGTTCCAGAATGCACTAGAAATATCAGGAAGGGCACAGCCCTGGGTGAATGGGGGTGCGTTGTGCGAAGAATTTTGTAGGAGAAGCCAGCTCAACGGTGAAAGGTGGTGATCATTTTTCAAGTGTTCTTGGTTTTCCATGTGTCATAAAGTTGCATTATTCAGGAATAACCCCAAATCAAATTAAAACGTCTCTGAAAACATGAAATGAAAAGCTAACTGATGCGTGCTTACAAATGGTTGCCGTGCCTTCCCTGTGGCCTCAGGGCTGGAAGTCTGTGTTTTCTCAGAGGTGACCAGGGACCATCCAAACACAGCTTCCTTGTTAATGTGACGTTCTCTTAACCAGCAGAGACGCTTCTGGATTCATTCAGAGAATGAATTCCTTCATTATCTGGGAAGGTGTGGTCCCACCTACTTACAGCAATGACGGGCCACCTTCATCCTAACCCATAGGGTACAACTGGCCACAGCCTTGCCTATCCGTGTAACTCACAATTGTCATGCTATAGCCACGTGGGCCGCCCTGGCTTGGGCCATGTTTCCTTGGCTCCCTGGGAGGGGCGGTGGTTATAACCATGTTCTGCAGTCCCAGTGAAGTACCCCAACCATGTGGGGAAAAGTCAGCATGTTTTTTGGGGCAAGATCAGCGCACATGGGCAGGGTATCCCAGCAATGAAGCAGTGGTGTGCCTCCCAGGGACCCCAGGACAGTAGCCATGCTGCTGGTACACGCCTCAGACTCTAGGCAGCAGCCGCTACCTCCAGGGTTCAATTCCCAGTTCCGCATCCCACTCTGTTCTCCCACGCTTCACCTCGCTCCAGAAGAAAGCTTTGTTTAATGCTTCAGCAAACTGCTGTGGGCCTGGAAAGCCTTCTAGGCAGAGGCATTCTAATTAGTATTGTGGCTTTGCTGGGAAATCCATTTTTCAGGTCTCAAAAAACTTCTGATGATTCTCTAACTTTTCATAAGGGTCCCTGGGCCATCTCAGCCATGAAGCTGGTTCCACTTCGGTTTTTGAATCAGAAATGCAGGAATTTTCCGCTGGTGGCTGGAGCTGCCTCATGATGAGTGAGGAGCAGGTGAACTCTCCCGCCTCCCACCAGCACCAGCCTGGATCAGGAGGGGAGAAGGAACACGCTTGCATGTTTTACAACCAGACCCCATGGCAGAAAAGGGCCCTCGATAGTGGGTCTTAAGATAGATGAAAGAAACAAAAAGGGCCCTCGCTTGCTGCACCCCCAGCCACTGCCCATGGATGTCATCAGTTCGTCCTTCCCCTCGTTTATTCAGTATTGCTCCAGCATCCCTCCGTGTGCCAGGCAGAGGCCTCTGCTGGGGTGCAGTGGTGCACCCTGAAGTCCCGTTCTGGCAGGGGAGACAGAGCATGGACAAATGAGCAAATGGACCCTGAAATGTCAGGTGGTAATGCTGCACCAGCAGGATCAACATCGGGGGGCTGAGGTGTGGGAGGTCGTGTGCACTAAACAGGGTGTCAGGGAAGGGGAGGTGGTCTCTGAGCAGAGAGCTGGGTGAAGTGAAGGAAAGCCCCATGAATATCTGGGAGATGTTCCTTCCAGGCAGAGGGAAGGGAAGGAGCAGGTCTTGGAATGACGTGGGCCTGGCCTGTGGAAGGAGCACCTGAAGGTTGGCATGGGGGTAGGGACTGGCTGCAGGGGACTTTGACCAGCAGCTTTGTCTTGGGACACAGTCTTTAATCTCTGATAAGTGGCCCTTATCCATGGAGCTATCATGGATAAATGCTTTCTGTAGTTATTTGTGGAGCACTGGGTCCTGTTCCTTTCTACGAGAGCAGCCACTCCCAATTGGGTGTGACTTTGCTTCCCACGGGACATTTGGCAAATCTGGAGACACTGCACAACTTGTGTGTGTGTGCAGGGGTGCTCCTGGCATCTAGTGGGTAGAGGCCAGGGGTCCTGCTAAGCATTTCATGGTGCACAGGACAGTCTCACAGCAAGGAAATTAGCCAACCCAAAATGCCAAGTGAGCTGAGGTTAAGAACCCTGAGACCAAACAGGAGTGTCAGCAAGCACGGGGAAGGTTGCACATTTTGACTGACAGTCACTGGGACCAGGCTCTGGAGGGCCTTGTGGGGTGGTGGATGGCATATGGGGAAAAGGTGCCTTGGCCTCTGTGAATCCTTCTCCCATGGGAGAGAAGCTTGCATGGCTCACAGGTGAGATATCCACCCCTGCAGTGACGGGGACAGAGCAGACCACTGCCTTGGACACTGCCTCGGCCTCTCATAGAGTTTAACAAAGACCAATGTCAGAGCCTGAGATCGTGAGCTCTGGCCTGGGATGGATGGATGGATGCTTTCTCCTTCTCTTTCAAGACCCAAGGCCACGGCTCTCCCGTCTCACAGCATGTTCACTGGGCTAAGCAATTTGCGGACATTGACCCGTGATCTGCCCTCTGCTAGAGCCTATTTTCAACATGGTAGCGCTGAGCAGTGAGCAGGAACATTGCTGGTGCAGGGTGGTTGCCTTTGCTGTGATCTGCCTGGAACGCTCCCTCCTCACTTCTCCTGCCCTTCCACCATCCGGGCCTCAGCTGGAACACTGTCCCCATGCAGAGGCTGCTGCCCCTCCAGGACGGTTCCCTCATCCTTGTTTTTATACCATTTACCAGCTTAATTGAAAACAAGCTACTCAAATGAAGTGCTTGTAGTATAATTAAATTACTTTGGTCTTGGAAACAAAAAATGGAGGACCCTCCTCCCCAGGACAATTTTGGGGAAGAAGCTTCCGATTAAACCACCAGCACCCAAAGCTGAAATTCTACTTAAACAATTCCCTGATTTTTATACTTGGGGTACAATAAATGTACTTTAACTGCTCTGGTGGTATTGACATGTACCCAAGCCTGGATGCTACCCCCCACTGCTGCAACTGGCCTCCTGCCCCTCAGAGCAGGATCCTAAGTCCCAGTCTCCCAGGCCCTTTCTCTGGGTCCTGCACCTTCCTTCTCCCCATCTTAATTAAAAACAACAACAACAACAACAACAACAAAAACCTGCCCCGTGTCATAGGCCCCTCAGGTGCCGGCTCAATTGAGGTGTCCGTGGCTGGACAGAGGTCTGATGTGCTTGGCACGGGAGGTGCTGGGTGGGAAAGAAGGAAGGGGTGGGAAGGGAACAGGGGGAACAGCAACTGGGGCCTGGGAGGGAGAGGGCAGGGGACACCCTGGAGGGCGGGCAGGCTCACCTCCTGCCCTCTCTGGGCTGGTACCTGCCCCACCTGATGCTGCCCGAGTCGGCATCCTGTCTGAACCTGCTTGTCTGTGAGTCTGCCAGGCCCGCGTGGTTACCCCAGGAAACGCGAGCTGCACGAGGCCGCGCGCAGAATCGCGTGGGAGTTTAATAATCCCGGCTGGTGACTGCTGTCCCGCTGCGGCGTTCTTTCCCATCAGAACCCTCACAGGCCTCCCTTCAGCCCGACGCTCCAGCTTCTGAGGCCTGCCCGTTCTCTGAAGGGTTCTACACCTTTTAGGCTCTGGACTCCATGTCCCCAAGTTTTTTGGAGGGAGGGGTCTCTCCCCACTTCCACATTAGCCCACGTCATCTTTGTGCAAGAAGGATCACATGTCGGCTGTGGGGAAGAAAGGGCTGGCACTGCTCTGAAGCTAATGAAATTATGACATTAAGGAAAATAAGTCGGTTTCATTGGCCTTGGGGTAGGCACCTGAGCACTGGGAATTTTAAGAGCTTCCCAGGAGATTTTACTGTGCAGCCAGGGTTGAAGATCACTGAACTGGATGATATGTTCTCAACTACAAAAAAATGTGTATTTATCTACGTAAATATATGAATGTTTTTCCAGCCAGAGAAAGGTGGGGTCCCATTGGCTTCATCTCCGGCGGCCCCTCCCTCTCATTATGGCTGTGACACATCAGTATTCAGTCACCTGGGGACTGCCTGTGACTGTGTGACCCGGGACAGACCCCGTGACTTCTCTGTCCCGGGTCGTCTTATCCGTGAAATGGGACTCGCCAAGGCACCGGCTTCACTGGCCCGTCACTGCGCAGCCCCGCAGCGCCCCACGCCGTGCATGACCTTGGCTCATTCCTCTAACCAAGCCTTTTGCTGTGAAGGTAGCATCTCTTTTTACAAAGGTCTGGTGGTGGTGGTTGGGGGTTGGGGGGTGTCCCTTCCGGGGGTGTCTGGGGTTTGAGAAGCGCGGGGCCAGGCGGCCTTCCCTCTCCTGAGAGCGTTTTCAAAGTTAACTTTGGGACGGTTCCCGCGAGGGCCGCACGGAAACTCAGAACCGGCCTTAGGGGATCCGAGCAAATTCCACCGTCGTCAAGTCCTGGTGCTCCGTGAAAGATGCTCTTCCCCTCGGGGCTTCGGAGCCGGAGCATTTGTCGACGGTTCCTGCCTCTTTCCCCGGCTGCCGGCGCGAGGGTCCCGCCACCTCCCGGAGCCGCCCCCCGCGCCCCGCAGCCCGCGCCGCCCCGCGCGGCCCGCGGTCCTCCTCACCTATCGGATTTCCTGTGCGCACCGCCGCGCGCTCCTCCCACCTCTTAAACGCGGAGCGGAAAACCATCCTCGGCCTGGACCCAGCGCCTCCGGGGACGGGCTGCGCGCCCCCTGCGTCGGCGGGCCGGGATGCGGCTCTGAGCCCGCCGCGGCTTCCAGCCTGCCGGGGGCTGCCCCGCGCACGGTAAGGCCCGGGGCGGGGGCTCAGGGCGCGGGGCGCGCGGGCAGGCAGCGCGGGGCCGGGTGCTGCGGCGCGCGGGGGCGTGGGTGCCGGGCGCAGGGGACCGCGGCGCGGCCGCGCACTGCAGGCGAGCTCTTCTGTTTTCCTTCGCTCCTTTTAAATGAAGGGAAAGGAAATTGTGGCAGACCAAATGTCATCAAACTTGGTGTGAAAACGTATTCATTTATAAAGTCTTGCCGCTACTCACGCCACACACCGAGGAAGTTGTGTCCCTGGGTGGGCACGGTGCGGACACAAGACTGAGGGAACCAGCATTGGATGGAAACACAATTAAAAAGAATAGCCCCATCTTAAACAACAGCAAAACAAACTCCGAGGCACCCGGCGGCAGGCCGCTCCTGCGGCGTGGTTGGGTTGGGGGGGTGGGGGTTGTGGAGGGGGCTGATAGGCAAGATGGTGAGAAAGGCAGCTTTTCATTAAGCGTGACACCAGGGGTTTTGACTTTGGGAGGACCAGAAGGGAGCCTGTAGGTCATTGCTAAATACAGCGAGGTACCTTAAGTCTCGGTAATCAACATTATTTTAAAAACAATATCTGTACCGGGTTAGTATGTGTGTGTGCGCGTCTGCATGTGTGCGCAAACACACCACACAGTCTAGATTTCCTTCGTGGTTTTGTTTCATTTTTTTGTTTATGTGTCTGATTTTGAGGGATAAATACAGCTTCCAAATAATGGCAACTGAATCTGCAGTAATCAGATGTTGGAAAATTGTTTTTCACTCGTCCTTTATGTTAGCATAACAAACTCAAGTCTTTGTTATATGTGGCCACCTATTGTAAATATTAACATTACCTCTCATCCCCATATCTCCCCCATTTACTATTTTTGTCTTTTTCAAAGAGATGGGAGTTGGAGGAGGAGTAGAATTTAATGAAGATACAGATCTGCGGAAGTGTCATATTTCGTTGGGTGCCTGGGGTGGGCAGTGGCTGCTATTGAGAGTATTTTACAGAGTGGCATTTGTGGATAAATGCATGCTGATTTTGCTCGTCTCTACATGTATCTTTTGTGGTGTTTCCTCTTTAAAACAGGTAGATATAATAGGCAAATTTGGTTTCAAAGCATTTTATATGTTTCTTTTAAGGAATGATTGCATATGTATGAAGTCTTGTTTCCTATCTCCTTCCATTTTTTCTTCTCTTTTAAAATCAGCCTGTCTTAAGTAGTTTCTTCTTTAGGTAAATTTAAAAATAATAAAAATCCGATGTGTTCAGGAAGGAGCTCAGTGTGAGGCCTATGGAGGTTACCTCCTGGAAATGCAAAATCGCGGAAAGAGATGTTTCACTATGCTCTCACCTTAGAATATTGACAAGCACAAGGCTGCCTTTGTAAAGGTTCTTCCAGACAGAGGCATGCATCCATTCTTTTGTAGGATTTCTAAGTAGGTACTTTGAATAAACAACGGCCACCGTTAATAGTTGATCTTACAAGATTCTGCATACTTCACCATGACCAAACTTCTCCACACGGATGGTAACCTTCATCCATTCAGCAGGGGACACCAGGGTGTAGCTTTCCCTCCTCTGTCATTGGACAGCTACAGATTCAGGCCAGCTCAGACGGGTCCCAGAAGGGTTTCAGGGTCTCCGTCTTCTCCTTCCTGGGCATGGAACTGGCATTGGGCTCTGAGACCAGTAGTGGCATCCCAGGGAACTCCCTCTGCCCCCCATGCATGCTTGTCCATCTAGCTGGGCATCTTGATCAGATTTCTGCTTGGTTTTCTGCCAGGCCTAGAGCCTGATCCTGAATCCTGGTTCCAGTGACTTTGAAAAGCTGCCTGGGCTTTATCAGCCTCTCTCCCCAGGTGACTGGGATGCCGATGAGGATGGGATCCCTCTTGGACCTGACAGAAACCTACCTCCCTGACTATAACAGCCTTGTTCCTGGGCCCCACCCAAACTTGGTGGCCCTGGGTAAACCCAGGTTTACAGGCTGTGTTCATTGTTCTTCTGTTCACCTTTCTCCTTCTACGCCCTACTTTCCTCTGCTGCCCCTTCCTGCTCCCAGGTAAGTCTTTGGACTTGGTGAGGGCTCCCCTCTTCCTTGTTAATATCAGGCTCTTCTCTTTTGCCCTGGCCTGAGGATAGGGTTCCGTCAAGCTTTCTGGCTCTTCCGAGTTTTGACAATGCTTTTTTGCCTGTGGAAGGAGGGAGTGAACTGACCCTGTGCATGAAGCTAATGAAAGGTGAAGGGCAGGGGGGAGAGATGATTTATAGAGATTTTTAGAACTAACATGGTCTTCAGTTGAAAACCAGAATTAGGAGCTCTGAGTATCATGCAGGTGCAGGGAGATGGATTTGAAAAACAAATCAGCTGTAATTTTTATATCTAATTTTGAACATCATCCCATATCCTCAGGAGAATACATCCGAGCCAGAAGTCATTTGGGACCAGGTTGGATAAATAAAGGCACCCATCATTCATTCATGCATTAAATAAATATTCTTGCAGAGATAAATAGCTCAGGCTCTGCAGCCAGATGCCTGGGTTGAAATCCCAGCGTTGACAGGTACTTGTTATATGACCTTGGGCAAGTTAGTTAATTTCCCTATGCCTTAGTTTCCTTAATTGAAATTGAAGAGAATAATAGTACTTATTTCATAGGGGTGCTTGTGAGGATTACATGGTTCTGTATATAATAAAGAACAGTAGAACAGTGTCGGATATATACATGCTACATAAGTTATAGCTATTGTTGTTATTATGACTTGCTTATTGTGTGCCAAGCACTTTACAATGCTAAGTAATAATTGTTTCGGATCAAGAATGAGGTATGGAAAGAAGGAAGCAAAACTAGTTTCTCTTACTTAATTAAAAAAAATACAGTTTGAAAAGTAATTGCCAAAAAGTTGTGAGAAAAATATCATGAGCAACAGCAGAATTATTTTAATCAGATGACTAACATCAGGGGAACAATATTTAGTTTGTTATTTAAGTTTTGGTCTATGTTTTTTGTTTAAGCTGTAGACACAGGCGGGAAGATTGCTTGAGCCCAGGAGTTCAAGACCAGCCTGGACAACACAGCAAGACCCAGTGTCTTAAAAAAAAAAAAATCTGATTTTTTATAATTATTGGAAACCATTCCCCAGTGTTACTATTCACGTTTGCAATGCTCTCTCTTTTTTTCTTACTGTTTCCAATTTATTTATTTTTCATAGAGGCGTTTTGGTGATCGGTGTGCCTCCTCAGCTCTGCAATTTCCCTTTTTAATCTCATTCTGTCTCCTGGTCATCGCTATGACCTGTTTTGTTGATTTCCTGTTCTTAGTTTCTTGTAGCACCAAATCATTTACTCTGAAAACTTTTAATCCGCTGCTGGGAGTGTATTTTCTTCCATGCTGTGGCTTCTTCACTTGCCTTTTGCACGTTTCCTTTTTGTTCCTTTCCTCCTTCCTTTCTGCAGTATTTATGCATATTTGCTCTGCCATTTCTTTATTTGTCAAGCATATTTAACAGGGGCAGGTTCACCTGAGCCTTTAGATAACACTTTTTTTGAATTGTCCTTTATTGCTTCTCTCCTATGTGAACTTCATTTCCTTCCCAGAGCTTCCTTTGGAGATGTGCTTTATCAGCTTTTCTGTGGCCTGAGGATAAGAAGGAGCAGGAGCAGCAGGAATGCTGGATAATCATGATTGGTGGATTTAGTCTCTATTCATTTTGATTAAGTTTGTTAATATTTATAATTTTATTAAAAGTTGCTCTCAGGATATACTCAGGTTTTGGATTGCCCCCAAATTCAGTGTGTAACATAGAGGCATTAAATTTTTTATTTTTCAAATTATGAGGTACTTCAAACATGCAGAAGTGAAATAATAATAGAAAAAGCACGTGTGAGCCCACATCCCAGCTCTATTGAGTCCTAGTGCTTGGCCATACTTGCTTAGATTTAAAAGAGAAGACAACATGAAAGCCTCGTTGAAGCTTCTTCTGTCCCCTCCCCAGTTCTCCCCAACCCCCTTCATCCTTTCACACTATCCTGAATTATTACTGTCTTTCCCATACGTGTTTCCACATCACTTCCATGTATGCATCTGTGATTCATTATGCTATTGAGTTCAATATTTCAAGCTCTTTAAAATGGTTTCATACGGCCATACCGCAGCTCTTTTTGATTCGTTGTTTTATCCACATTGAAACATAGCTTGTATTAGTCCATCTTCATGCTGATATAAAGAAATTCCCGAGACTGGCTACTTTGTAAAGGAGAGAGGTTTTTTTTTTTTTTTTTTTTTTTTTAAATTATACTTTAAGTTCTGGGGTACATGTACAGAATGTGCAGGTTTGTTAACATAGGTATACATGTGCTATGGAGATTTGCTACACCCATCAGCTCATCATCTACATCAATAGCATTCTCCTAATGCTATTCCTCCCCTAGCCCCCCACCCCCTGACAGACCCCAGTGTATGATGTTCCCCTCCCTGTGTCCATGTGTTCTCATTGTTCAACTCCCACTTATGAGTGAGAACATGCGGTGTTTGGTTTTCTGTTCCTGTGTCATTTTGCTGAGAACGATGGTTTCTAGCTTCATCCATATCCCTGCAAAGGACATGAACTCATTCTTTTTTGTGGCTCCATAGTATTTCACGGTGTATATGTGCCACATTTTCTTTATCTAGTCTATCATTGACGAACATTTGGGTTGATTCCAAGTCTTTGCTATTGTGAACAGTGCTGCAATAACCATGCATGTGCATGTGTCTTTATAGTAGAATGATTTTGGGTATTATACCCAGTAGTGGGATTGCCGGGTCAAATGGTATTTTTGGTTCTAGATCCTTGAGGAATCGCCACACTGTCTTCCACAATGGTTGAACTAATTTACCATTGCATTAGGGTAAAAGCATTCCTATTTCTCCACATCCTCTCCAGCATCTGTTGTTTCCTGACTTTTTAATGACTGCCACTCTAACTGGCATGAGATGGTATCTCATTGTGGTTTTGATGTGTATTTCTCTAATGACTAGTGATGATGAGCTTTTTTTCATATGTTTGTTGGCCACATGAATGTCTTGGAAAGAGGTTTAATTGGTTCACAGTTCTGCATGGCTGGGGAGACCTCAGGAAACTTACAGTCATGGTGGAAGGGGAAACAGGCATGTCTTACATAGTGGCAAACGAGAGAGAGAGAGAGAGAGAGAGAGAGGGAGGGAGGGAGGGAGAGAGAGAGGAAGGGGGAGAGGGGACGCACGCATGTGAGAGCACAGGAAAAATCACCATTTATAAAACCATCAGCTCTCATGAGAATTCAGTCGCAATCACTGGAAAAGCATGGGGGAACTGCCTCCTTAATCCAATCACTTTCCTCCCTGGACACTTGGGGATTGCAATTGGAGATGAGATTTGGGTGGGGACACAGAGCTAATCCATATCATAGCTGTAGTTCAAGCTTTTCCAACGTGCAGCCCAGGAGGCTTTGATTGCGGCTTAACACAAATTCATAAACTCTTTAAAAACATTATGAGATTTTTTAAAACGCTCATCACTGTTGTTAGTGTTAGTGTGGTATATGTGTGGCCCAAGACAATTCTTCTATTGTGGCCCAGGGAAGCCATAAGATTGGATACCTCTGCGGGTGTAGTTCATTCATTTTCATTGCTATATAAAATGGTAGGCTGAGGTGGGAGGATCTCTTGAGCCCAAGAGTTTGATGCTAGCCTGGGCAACATAATAAGTCCTCATCTCTATAAGAAATAAATTAAAAAAAAATTAGCTGAGCATGGTGGCATGCGCCTATAGTGCTAGCTGCTTGGGAGGCTGAGATGGGACGATTGCTTGAGCCCAGGAGTTTGGGGCTGCAGTGAGTCATGATCACTCCACTGCACTCCAGCATGGGCAACAGAGCAAGACTTTGTCTCTTAAAAAAATTATATTGAAGAATTGTACTAAAATTGGCTCAGCTATTGTTTTGTTAATGGGATATTTAGATGATTTTCATTTGTCATATAAAAATGCTGTAATCAACATTCTTGTACATATCTCCTTTGCATACACGTAAGACTGTACTTTAGAGTACATCCCTGGAAAAGGCACATTGGGTGAAAAAGCATATTTCCTGGATACTAAAGAACGTTTTGCAAGGGATTTGTACCAGTTTATAAACGTACCTACTATAACTGTTAACTCAGTTCCTGGTTTTCCACAGCTTCCCCAACCCTTAGAATTACTGGACTTTTAAATTTTTGTTATTGTCATGAGTATGAAATAGAATCTCAGTGTTTTAAGGTGCATTTTCTGACTCTAGTAAAACTAATAATCTTTTCGTATATTATGTATCTCAGCCATTTGAATTTCCTCTTCTGTGAATGGCCTGTTCATGTCTTTTGATAATTTTTCATTTGGGATGTTTTTTTCTTATAGGTATACAGAAGCTCATTTAGAAGTATTCAAGGATTTTGCAATTTGGTCGAGGAAAAGAAAATCAATCTCTTTCAGGAGAGAGAGTGAGAACCTGAAATTTCTTGGAGGAAATAAAGAATCTACACTTTTGAAAAAAAAAAAAAAGAAATACACATTGCAAGTATCTACTCCTAGTCTGTGGCTTGCATTTTTACATTTTATTGAACAATAGTTTCAATTTTTTAATTTGGTGAAATTTACTAAGTTTTTTTATGGTTTATGCTTTTTTTTAAGAAACTTTTTGTCTTATGAAATTTCTTCCCCACTCTAAGGTTTTAAAGATTGTCTCAAATACTGTATTTTTTCCTAAAAGTCTTCAAGTTTTGCTTTTCACATTTAGGTTTTTAATCCTCCTTGGATTTATTTTTGATACGTTTTGAGTTAGGGATTTGAATGTGATTTTGTCAAATGAATAGTCAGTAGTCCTAGGTTGTAAATTCAGTAGTCACCCCTTTTTCTGCCGATTTGTAATATCATTTCTGTCATACTTGTGTAGACCTGTTTTGAGGCTATTTATTCTTTTTATGGTCTGCTTGGTTGCCATAATGAAATACCACAAACTCGATGGCCAACAACATAAAACTGTTTTCTCACAGTTCTGGAGGCTGG